ACCGTCGGTTTCTGGGGCAGGCTGCCCTGGGCATGCACCTTTCAACTCGGCGGGCATGTTGGCTCCCCCGAGCCCGCATCAGACGCGCACCACGACCCAGCACTTGCTGACTAACTGGAATAGGTGAGCAACGGGCTGCAATCCGCCAGAGAGCACAACTCGCACATCGGCCAGGTCAGCACGGGCAAGCATCCATGGGGGTGCTCGCGGGAGGGGGGGGGGGGGGGCAGCACTTGCAGCGAGGGCTTCTGGGGGTTTCAAGCTCCGCTGCTCGTTCGGGCGACCCGCAGCGCTCACTTTGGAGTCGAAATCGCAAGGGACTTCGCACGCCTGGGCTCACGGAGCGGGGCAGGGACACGGACGCGCCTTCCGTGTGGGCCCAGTCGTCCGCGAGATCGCTGCCCGCCTTCAAGGCGGCGAGCGGAGAGGCCAGCCTGCACGCGCGCCTCCGTGCAGCGCCCTGTGACCGCGCGCACGCGCGCGTGCTCGATCCCCTCCATTCCGACACCCGCCCCCACGCTAACGCCCAGACCCCCGCCCACGCACTAGAGGAAGCGCAACGTGCATCGCGACCGCATATATATATATATATATATATATATATGTATATATATACATATATATATAGGCGGTCAACATCGCCGCTCCCGGGGCCGCCTGCTGCAACCCGCGAAGAAGTGCGAACAATTCTGCAGCGTCAATCTCTGCGCGGCACAGGAAGGACAGATACAGAGACAGAGAGCGCACGGCAAGGCTACGCGGGAGCAACAGCAACGATCGCCCACGCGACTGCTGGCGCGTGAATCGGAGGGCCATGGCCACGCCAGCCCCCGCCTAGGAAGACATGTCCTGAGCACCCCTGCGGACCTCCTCCGGACCAACGATGTGGAAGGGGGGGCGGCGGGGAGAGTGGCATCGCGCACCAGCAGCCGCTCAGCAAAGAGAAGCGGCAGGGGGGGGCAGGAAAGAACCAGACGGGTGAGAAACTCTGGAGGGGCACCACCCTGCAGCTCGCCGAGGCCTGGGCAGCCTGCATGCCGAATTATGAAGCAGGGTCCCAGGGGCAGCCAAACAAGAACTCCAATGCCTGGGTCCCGCCACGGGAAGCCGTCGCCCTCGAACCCGGCCCACTGGGCGGTCGCGGCGCAAGCCGACCAAGGGCCGCGGATGCGGGGCCGAGGATTTCCATGCCCCTTGAAACGCTCAACATCCGAACGAATACCCTGATCCAGCAATCCCGCGGGCATCCAACTGCCCCGCGCGGCCGCGGCAAACGCGAGGAGGGGATCGAGATTGAGGAGGTAAATCGGATCAATGGTGGGCTTGTGCGATAACAAGAGCACAGGCGAGACCGAACGCCACGCTAAACGCTGTCTGCAGATCTGCCTGCGCTGCGCGCGCAGCACTGATGTCGGCCCCCGCGCTGCCGAGGACATTTCCACCGTGCCAGGTGGACGAACGCACGGAACTCTGAATCCGATTGCGCAGACGCGACGCTTGTTGAGATCTCGAAGCGACAGGATATTCCTGGCACGCCTCTTAGCAGGCACCTGCCTGGAGCACGAGTGGCATGCGGCCGCGCCTTGGCATCTCCGATATCAATGCCGAGGTCGCGGTCAACCTTGACTGCTCGCACCTTCAACCTGCGTAAATTACGAGGAGGGACCGCGGGGAGGCAGAGGTAGCCACGATGCGAGACTTCCCGACAGCGATAAGCACGTTTACCTCGGCAAACTCTCGATGCAGGAGCTGCGCGGCAGCGGTGAGCTCGCGCGCCGCGTCGGCCTCGCGCCCCAGACCAAAATCGTCAACAACAACGCCCACATGCACGCGGGCGAAAGCGACAAGCACTGCGTCAAGGGACAACATCATCATCAACTGCAACGTCGGCGCGGGGAGATGGCAGCCCGGGAAGACGGCCCGGACAGCCTGCCGCGCGGCGAGCACGAGCTCAGAGTGCCCGGTGCGCTCGAAAGCGCTCTGCAAGTCCAGCAGGACGAGGCCGCTGGCAAAATCACGACCACGAGCCCACTCGGCGGCGGCCGACCGAGTCCAGACCAGTTCGCCGCTGCTGCGCCCAGCCGGGGACCGCCCAAACGGCCGAGGGTGCGCGGCCTGCCACTGGGCCACTAAGGACCTGCGGAGTCAACCGTGCAACCGAGCAACGATGTGGATCAGCGCGATGGGGCGCAAGCCACCGTCACGCTTGGGAAAAAGGGCTCCAGATTACCAGGTCACCTGCAAGTTACCTCTAGTTCAACCAACGCGTCTGCGAAGGCCTCGAGAGCAACATCCGCGAGTTCTCAAAGCTGCCGAAGGGCTGATCAAAACCGCATCAAGAGTTGCGCGGGGGACTAGCAACGACTTGCTCGAACTCCCCAGGCGTGGACCTGGGGAAAGCTGGCCTAAAACGATCAGGCCACTCGATGGCCTCGTGCTTAGCTCCGACCTCCCACCACTCCGACCACTCCCGACTCAACTACTCCACCTCCTCCTGAAGTGCGCACGGTGCGCCTGCTGCGTTCAACCCACCCGCGTGCCACGGTGCGGCAGGAAGCTAAAAACGCGCAGAGCGGCAGCGCCACCGAGCGAGCGCCTGCGGACCCAATCGCGCCAGCCAGCCAGCTTGTCCTGCTCGGCAGCACGATGGATCCATACGGCGACAAGCTTGGCGGCCTGCCCTGCAAGAGCAGCAATCTCGCACGGCAGGTCACAGGCAAAAGGCAACAACGCAAGCCACGGACGAGCCTGGGCTGCCTGCGCGCCGCTGGTTCGATACTAACACTGCGACTTGTGAGCGAGCTTCAACATGCCTGCGCGCAGCTCGGGCGATGGCCAACGCCCGAGCGTTTCGAGACACCTTGCAGCCAATCGCCACCATGCCCCAGCAGGGCTGAGGCGAGGAAAAGGTGAAGCCTGTTGCAAAGGGGCATCTGCGACAGCGATGCAAAGCGGACGGCTACGACCAAAGAAAGCGGGCTGCAGGTCCGATTCGATGTCGTGCATGTTCGCTAAGTCCATCTCAGCAGCTGCCACCCGCAGACGGTACCTGCCATCAACATCAAGTTTGTGAGCCATATCTTAAAATACTGCCACCTGGGATACGGGTCCGGGCGCCTGCATCCAACCAGCACCCCAGCGGGAAAACGCTTGGGCACCTAAACGAACTGGTACTGCATGCTGGTGCTCACCACAGTGCCGACGGTGAGCTCGACGGGAAAGTGTGCAGCAGCGCCTCCATCAACCAAGACCTCGAGCTTCGCCGCGCAGGACACCACGTTGTAGTCGATTGTGCGGCCGCCCGACTTGGCGGCATTCGTGCAGAATACACACGAAGGAGACAAACGCACTCCGTCAACAGCATCAACCCAGCCACTGCCTTGCCACGCTGAGGGTAACGTCTGAAAACCGCCCGTGAGGACGAATGGCAGCGAAGCGCTCTGGATGACCTGGCCTATGTCGTCGAGGATGATGCACCAACTGCGCAGATGCAGGCTTTCACTGCGATGCAAATACGCTGCGAGGGGAAAGAAAAAAAAACAAAAACATAAAAAACTCTTGGAGCCCAAGCTGAGCAATGAAGAGCCCGAGCTCTCCCCCTGGCAAGGGTAGATGGGATACACTCGAGCTTGCACAAACCAAGATGCCAAGGTATGCGCTGCAGCAAGCCTCCCGACGTGCCCCCAGCCCGAGTGGCGGTGGCTGGTGTCAGGGTGGCTCTCCGCTGCAGGTGCCTTAGCTCATGCTCCTAGAGAGTATACCGGTCGCGTAGGAAGTGATGTTTCTGGACCGCTAGCGCCTGCAAGCTTTGAATATCACGATGCATGATAATAGTTTCAACCCCAGAAGGGCCATTGACATTGGCCGTGGCGAAAGACCAGCGCGGGCAAGCCTGATTACCCACCCGACGAGTCAGCTGAAGCATCACCTGTGTTGGACTTCTTCTTGGCAGCCTCGAGAAGAATCGCATCGAAGATCCCCGCCACCAGCTCCCCTTTGACCCCGTGGGTTTCGGCGAGCTGCTGAACCGCGGAGACCTTGGCATCATCACCATCATCATCATCATCATCATCATCATCATCATCATCATCATCATCATCATCATCATCATCATCATCATCATCATCATCATCATCATCATCATCATCATCATCATCATCTGCATCATCAGCATCATGCCCATCATCACCATCATCATCAGTATCAGCATCAGCATCATCATCGTCATCGTAATCATCAGTCGGCATCGCGCAGCGTGCACCACCGCCTTCTGAGCAGCGTCTTGAGCTTTGGCGTTATGCTTTCTGCTTGGCCGGCGAGCTGGGACTGCAACCGATCCTGCCGCATCGGAGCGCACTTCGCAGCGGCTTGCGGCTGTCCCTGGAGCACGGCACGGTGCGCGGCAACTCGGGCGAGGACCTTCGGAGACCACCCCTCGCAGAGCCGCAAGAAATCCTCTGCCCTGATGCAGGTATAGATGTCCGGCTGGCTCTCGTCCAGGAAGGTTGGACCCTTGAACTTGGGCGGAGGGCCACTGGCCCAGCTGCCCTTGGGGCCACATGCATGATGCGGAGGCTTGGGCACGTTGCTAGGCGCCGCTCTACCGCAGACACGATTGCGTACTTCTTGTGGCCGCACTGCCACGTCTTGAACCCTTCCATGGCTGCACGAGGAGGCCTCAAAACAGGGCTGTCGGCCTAGGACCTGCCGTAGTCAGTACGCGAGTGCGGGATGAAACCGTGATACGGTAACGAAGAAAGGTCGGAGGTGTTGCCTCCGAGAAGGGTAGGAGCCGCAATCCCCCTGCGCCACAAAACAGCTCGCGTCCTGAACCACCGCTATGGACATGAGCCAAAATGGCTACGGATCGTCCTCCTCATCCTCCACCTCCTCCTCCTCCTCCTCCGCCTCCTCCTCTTCCTCCTCCTCCTCCTCCGCCTCCTCCTCCAGATGCACCATGATGCACCCCACATCTGATCGGTTCAGAGAGGCCGCCGATCCTCCCGCCACTCGGAGAAGTCGTTGCGCCGCCCGACCTCGAACTCCTTCGGGCGGAGGGGTGAAGGAGCGAGGGAGGCAGGGGGGGGAGGGGGAAGGGAGGAGAGGGAGGAGGTAAGAGAAGGAGGGAGAGAAGGGAGGGGGAGGGAGGGGGGAGGGGTGCAGGGAAGGAGGGAGGGAGGGCGAAGGAAGGAAGGAGGGAGGGAGGGAAGGAGGGAGGGGGAAGGGAGGGGAGGGGACAGAGGGGGGAAGAGAAGGAGGGAGGGATGGGAGAGGAGGAGCGAGGAGGGACAAAGGCAGGGCTGAGACGGGCTGGGCAGGGGGGAGAAGGAAGGGGGAGACAGAGCACGGCGAGGGAAGTGAGGCAGGGGAGGAACAGGGAGGCAAGGGACCGAAGAGGAAGGAGGAGGAAGAGGGAGACTGAAGGGGAGGGGGGGGGAGAGGGGACCACGGCGATCACCACCACGACCTCCACCAGCACGGGACCACCACGACCACCACGACCAGACACGACCACCATCCCGACGACCACGACAACCACCACCACGACCGCCACCACTACGACGCGACGACCGCTCCCCGTCACCCAGCTATCTCGTTTCCTTCTTTGCGTCCTGCCCGGCCACCTCTGCCCGCAACCCTCGCCTCCATTTCTCCATTCCTCCAGTCCTCCTCCTCCTTCTCCTCCTCCTCCCTCCTCCTCCTCCTCCTCCCTTCCTCCTTCCTCCCTCCTCTCCTCCTCCTCCTCCTCCTCCTCCTCTCCTCCTTCCCTCCTTCTGTCTCAGTCCATTCCCTCCCGCCCCATCCCTTCCTTTCCCATGCCCTCCCCCCCCACGTCCTTCCCCCCTCCCCCCTTTCCTCCCTCTCCTCCCTCCCCCCCTTCCTCCCCTCCCTCCCCCCTTCCTCCCTCCTTCCCCCTTCCTCCTTCCTCATCCTCCCCACCCTCCCCCTCCCCTCCCTCCCCCCTTCCTCCCTCCCACCCCCCCTTCTCTCCCCTCGCCTGTCACAGAGATGGCGCCCCCACCAGGTCGCAGGGGGCGATCCTGAACGGATGGCCAGAAAATCCACCGCATCTAATGCGGGCTTCCAGCCCCAACAAAGAAGCGGAAGCAAAACACATCGACAGCAAAACGTGGCCTCCAATGTGCCTGCACAGACGGTCGCCTTTGGCGACTGCCTGTGCGGGCATGACAATGCAAGCGCAGGGGGAGAAGAGAAGCAGGCATGAGGCAGGACTTCTTGGATCGTCGCGCCCTCGCTCTTGCAGCAACCGCCGCGGGCAATCACAGTTGAAGACCAGCGTGCTGAACCACCAACCAACAAGATCCGACAAGGACGACCCAGCCGATCACACCCCGTCGGCGATGCACGGACGAACTTCTTCGTTGGCGGTGCCGGCGGGCGCGAGCGCGACTGCAATACCGAAAGGCCGCGCAGGGCATTGGGCGCACTGGAACGGGTGGAGGAAAATCGAAGAACGGCCGCGGAGGAGGAGGGAACGCACGGACAAGCATACCCAAACGAGGCAACAGAGACGAGGCCGAAGACGCTCCGAGGGGAACACCGCACACGAAGCAAAGCAACGGCATCCAAAGAGCAAGCAGCCATGCGCAGGAGAGGCGGGAGCCCCGCCGCGGGAGGGGAGCAGCCGACGAGCCGCTCGTAGAAGAGGGGAGGAGGTGGAGGAGAGGAAAGGAGAGAGGATCCTCCATATCTTCCCCATAGTTCCTGGGCTGTTGTCTCCCCCCCCACTTCCCATCTGTTCCCATACTTTCCTGGGAATCGACGATCGTAGAAGAGGGGAGGAGGTGGAGGAGAGGAAAGGAGAGGAGAGGGGAGGGCCGAGAGCAGAAGGGAGGGGAGAGGCGGTGAGCTGAGATGGGAGACGAGAGGACACTTGCCGAGAGGAGGGAGCGGGACCGCGCCGCGGCCCCGACTCCCCACTCGCCCTCCTCGCCCTTGGTCGGCAATGGCGTTCCTCCCTCCTCTCCTGCCGTCGCCGCCTTCGTCCTCGTCGTGGCCGCTGTCGCCGCGGTCGCCGTTTCCGCCGCCCCCCTTGGGGCGCCTCCTTCCGCCAGCCCCCGCCCAGTGTCTTGCTCCCGCCGCCCCCCCCCCCCCCGGGGCGCCTCCCCGCCCCCTCCCCCGGCAAGCTGGGCGCGGTGGAGGACGGGGGAGCCGGCGGCGCGCGCTTGCGCCTGCGCACCTGCGCCCCGCCACTTGGCGTTGTGGCAGGCGCGGCTCCCGTGGGCTCCCAACCCCTCCACCTCCCCTCCTCCTCCTCCTCCGCCTCCTCCTCCTCTTCCTCCTCCTCCTCCTCCTCCTCCTCCGCCTCCTCCTCCTCCTCCTCCTCCTCCTCCTCCGCTTCCTCCGCTTCCTCCGCTTCCTTGCCGATCGCCGCATGCGGTGCGACAGCAGCGGCCTGCGCGCGCGTGTTTGGCCCCCCCGCGCCCCCCGAGAGCCGCCCCCAAAAATGGGTCACTCCGGAGAGTGGCCATCCTTTACGTCTGGTCGAATCCCGCTGCCCAGGAAGTCCTCCTCAGATTCGGGGTCGACTGGCTTCGGCGGCGGATGGGGCTGGTGAGGGCTCAGGCGACCTGCTCAGGACTCACCGAGCACAGACATGTTGGCACGTCCTGGGCCAGGTTCTGCCGCCTTTGCGCCGGCGGACTGGGAACCACATCGTCGGGCAGGCTGTGGACGAGGTCGATCTGGGTGGCCATCCCGTCTACCTGGCGCTGTTTCCAACCAACAAGAGCCAAGCACGGCAAATCTAGAAATCCGCTGCCCCACAGGAGAGCGAAGCCAATCGCACGGCTCACGGACAAATGAGCCTGGCGAGACATGTGCCCCGCCAGTCGGAGAACTAATGAATCGCATCGCGATGGGAAGAGCTCGCTGGGACCGGGCAGTGCGACCAACAAACTGACACCAAGACTCCGAAGGGGAGCGAAACAGAGGAGGAAAAGGAGAAGGGGGAGGAGGAGGGAAGGAAAGAAGGAGGAAGAGGGAAATCCGGCAATGGCGCAAAGCATCACCTCTGACCGGCATGCAGAACACATTCATCCAATTTTTTCGTCGTTCGAGGGGTCGCCCGACCCTTTGGCAAACAACGCGGCGTCCTTGGCGCGAAGGCCGCTTTGCGCAGATACGCGCAATTGAAACTCGTCACGAACCCGGGACGCCGCCGTTTGCCCCAAACGAAAAACAAGCCCGCAGAAACTGGCAACGGGACATTTGCACTGGCGGTGGCATCCGGCAACGTTCCTCGCTGCTTTGAAAGCAGCGAGGAACAGATCGACACCTGTTTGGCCGAGGCCACTCGCCACTTCTTGCGGACCGCAGCGGCGTGGAAGCCGGCGCATGGCTCCGCGAGGGAGCTGCCGGGGGAGCCGAATCCCGCTCACAATCGGGCGGATTCCAGAAACCCTGCATCCAAAAATCTTGTCATCCCTTGGGAGGCCGACTTTTGCCTCCGCCGGCTCCCGCCGAGCCTCCGCCGGCGGAACCGCCGCCGTTTTTTTGCCTCCGCCGACCTTCTGCCGGCCTGCCGCCACCGTGCGCCGAGGAGGAGGCGACGACTCCTTCGAACCTCGAAGGCGAGGCCCTTCCCTGGAACACTCCACATGCTGATGCAGTCCTGCTTCGAACTGTCCGAAACCTGCGATTCGCGAGTGGCGCGCGAAACGAACGGGCCTGGCCTGGACGGCGGCGCGGATGCGGCGCAAGAGGGCGCAGAGGGCCGCGGCGCAGAGTAGGGCGCACTGGCCCCCCTACGAGGATAGCCCTGAAGCCACCGACGGCGACCCCGCTGCCTTTTCGAGGAGAAGGAGAAGGAGGAGGAGGAGGAGGAGGAGGAGGAGGAGGAGGAGGAGGAGGAGAGGAGGAGGAGGAGGAGGAGGAGGAGGAGGAGGAGGAGGAGGAGGAGCAGGAGGAGGAGTTATCTAGCGAGCGACCATGATGATCAACGACAGACGAAAAGAAGCCAACCTGGGAGGCAGCCGATGCCTCTTAGGAAGGCTGGGGGTCGAGAGGAGGCGGGGGAGGGCGCACGGTGGGCGGGAGAGAGGCTGGGCGGCGCCCGACGGCGGCCACGTCGGCCGCGAGGGCGGCGTCCCCGAACGGCGCCGCGCGCCGCGCGGGCGGGGCCGCGCTCGCCACTCTCTCTCACCCCCCCCCCCCACACACTCTTCGCAACCCTCTCCCTCCGCCCCTTCCCCCGAACCAGGCCCCCAGGGACCTTGCCCTGGGCAATCCTCTGAAGATGATGCGGGCCCGCCTCCTCGAGGCGGCCCGAACGCGTCTTCCCAGGGTCTCTCAGGTGCTGGGTCGAAAAAAAAAACTCCACACGTGAGGCACCACAAAACATTGGCCTCTGGCCAATACGCCAAAGCATGGGAGGGGTCCACAAGACGGCTCTTGACACAAAGTGAAGCCGTCGGACGAAAAAACGACCCAGACCAGACCATGGGAGTGCACGGCGAATTCAGAAACGCAGTCAAATCTCGGGCGGAAGAGCTGCACCCGCACTTCTGACATCTCGGCAAACCTCCACAAACTATAGGGCACTCGTGAGTGGTCCGAGCCGCCGCCGCGCGCAGGAGCTGCCTAGCCGTCCTCCGCGCCTTCTCTTTGGGGGGGCGGGGGAGGCGTCCGCCCTCTCGCTCAAGGACATCAGACATTACAGCAACGAAATGATTCTGCACTTTCCGAGCCAAACCGTCCGCGAAGCGAACGGGAGCCGACTGACCGTACGGGACCTGCACACTCTTCGCGAAATGACTAGCGACCTCGTCGGCCACAGCGTTCGCGAGCACAACACCAGGGTTCAGCCCCCGACGGATGGCATCCTCGACTTGGAGGTGGCTCGGAATCTGCACGAGAACCACATCACCCAGCCGATCCAGAGTCTGGACACGGCTCCACAGGTCAACATGGGTCTGAATTCGCTCCAAAAGAAGCCTGGACGCGCGCAAAACCTCTAACAACATAAGCAGAATCCGCGACATACCCCAGGCAACCCTGGTCAAAAGCAGACTCGAGAAAAGCC